GGTAGGGGGCAGGTTGCTTCATACCTCTGAACCTCAATTTCTTATTTGTAAAATAGTGATGGTGAGCCTACTAGACAAGGTTGATATGTTTCAAGTGAGATGATGTAAGTGGAGGTATGTACTTCCACGTACACACCTATAATCCCAGTGACTTGGGAGTTTGAGGCAGGGGGATCAGGAGTTGGAGGCAGCCTTTCCAACATCGCAAGATCCTGTCTTAAAATAAGAAAATTAAAAAAGGGGAACTGAGGACATAGCTATTTTGGTAGAGTGCACAAAGCCCTGGGTTTGATCTCTAGTACCACAAAAATAAATGAATAGAAAATAAAAAGGGCTAGGGATAGAGCTCAGTGTGGTAGAAAAACACTGGGTTTTAGGTCTAATTTTTAAAAAAAGAAAAGAAAAGAAAGAAAGTGAATGCAGAAGTGGCCCCAGAAGTATACGGTTTCCAGTCCAGCCATTCATTGGCTGTCATGATCTTGAACAGGTGCTGAAAGATGCTGAAGTTTAGTTTTGTCATTTGTAAAATGGGAATAATAACATTACCTACATAATAGTGTTATTCTGTGTCTCAACCACAGCCCAGTTGTGTCAGGGTGGTAGGGCTGGTTGCGGGAAAAAGAAAGAACCTGGAGACAGCTTGGGAGATGTGATTTACTGGGGGAAACTGATAGAGTTAAGAAGACTTCAGTGGTGATAGGGAGAACAGACAGTACCTCTGTCTCTCATGATGCTTTGCCAGTGATGGCCAACTGGACAAGTGATATGTATCCTTTCCATATCCTTAGTCCTGTCCCTGTCCCTGCTCAGAGAAGGGTTTCATACATTGGACTGTAGAAACAGTGACCTCATCAACATTAGCTTGTTGAGTTTGCTTGGGTGACCCACATCCCAAGGAGCAATTGTCCTGGCGTATATGCAACAGAGTGGCTTTCTATAGAAAACATCACCTGCTCTAGTTCCCCGGGTGCATAAGAGAAAGCCATTGTTCTTCAAGATAACATGGATTTGGACTTTCCATCCCAGGCTTTGCTCTCATTGTTTCCTTAACTTGGCTAGGTTTTTGGGAACAGAAAGGGAGACATTTCAAGACCTGGTGTTTTACTGTCCCTCTTGCTCTAGGGACCAAAAATTCTGAAAATTAAGTGAAGAAATCCACATACAATACTCAGTGTC